AATGCAAACCTGCACTAAGGACATACTGTTTGGTGTTTGAACTGAGTTTTGTTCTGTTTCTGTTCTGGTTCTGCTCTGTGGGTTTGTTTGCACTGTTTTGTTCATTTGTTTTCATGTTAAATTAAAATTAAAAGTTTGATTAAAATATGAAATAAAAGTAAGAATGCCTGCTTTTGTAGCATAAAAGTACACAAAATTAGGCCATTATAAGGCTTTTCATAAAGACACTAAATTCAAAAGGGTTTATCAACACACAACGCATTCATATTTGTCAAGTAAGGCTAGATGATAACAAATTAAGAGCCGTTTTGGAGCCGAAAGAGCCGGCTCTTCTCTGGGAGCCGTGCCACAAGAACCGAATCTTTGAAAAGAGCTGAACTTTCCATCACTAGTACCCAACAGCATGCCGGGTGTGTAGGAACGGGTGAAAGGAAGCGGCACATCTTATCATGCAGATGATACGTCAACCGCTCAGACCAAACCCACAGCAGTCAACTATTTAATGCGCGCCCTGCGGTTGGTCCCAGCATCAAGCGCAGCTTTACGCAGAATCTGCAGGCATGGTTCTCCGGTGCGCCCAGACCATTCCTGCGGTGGTGCTGCTGATTCTGGCCATAGTCGGGATTCTGCTTGTGGTCCTTCCGACTGAAGAGATGAAACAGCATCCTCAAAACATGGTAATTACTGAATGATCATCTCAACTGGCGTGAAGAAAGGGCTATTGGATAACTGCGTGAGAATAAATCTAAAATAATTATAATTATTATTATTTATCCATCCATTATCTATANGGTTCTCCGGCTTCCTCCCACAGTCCAAAAACATGCTGAGGGATTCTAAATTGTCTGTCGGTGTGAATGTGAGTGTGCTTGTTTGTCTCTAAGTTTAACTCTGTGATAGACTGGTGTCCTACCCCCCCTTCCACCAATGAAATTCTATACTTCATGTCCACTACAATCCAAGTGGTTCAGGTGGGCAGACACATCTCTAGCCCCTGCACCTTGAACACCAGAGCACCCCCCCACGAGTGTGTCTTTTGCCCCCTGCTCTTATGCCTGTAATGGCTCATTCTATTTCACAGTGAGTTCTGCCAACTAGACAAATAAAGCAACAGTTCTGATATCAGCAATATGTCGCTAAAGAGAATTACACATAAATCTTTTAAGTACAAATATTGAAACTGCCTTTCAGAAATTTGAGTGTAGCACCCTCTAGTGGGAATGTGAAGTTAAGGCCATAGTGTATCAGACAGAACAAAATCCACAAAGTTCAAGGATTTCTCTGTAGACCTCTGCCTTAAAACTGTTACAAGGTAAAGATCAGGGTGAGGGTGCTAAGCTATTTCTAAATAACTGATTGTTCACAGGAGCACAATGGCTTCAGTCCCTGTGAAATGGATGAAGTTTGAGGGGAGGGGTTGTACGTTATGATGGAGTTTACTGTGTCGCTAATCTGTATATATGCATATGTATACTCATGTGTTTATGAGATTACACGAAGAGGCAGAAGACACTGGGACATTGTGAATTCATATGGAGCAACCTACTTGGCAAGCAATTTAAAAGTACATTCAGTGTATACAGCATTTGCACAGGTCTGCAATTGTACTGTACTGTAAAACTCCTCTTAAATCGTTTTATACATGCTGTTCTTGTCTGCCGAGGGACTTTTGATGATGGAAGATGATGGCGTACCCAGTAGTGATGTGTCTTGCGCAAAATGAATCAACGAATCAACGAATCAGAAGAGCCAACTCTCATTGTCTTTCTTTTTTTTCTGCTGCTCAAGGGCTCAGCTCAGCTCATGGCAGAACTTTGTTTTGATTGGCAGCATGGCAGCCTTGTGGCCAATCACATGTGGGGATTTAGTGCCACAGCTGATGTTA